TGCCAAATGGTCAAGGAATACTTTATTTTATTAAGTTTGGTCACGCCTCTCAAAAGCATCATGTTTGTCATAAGTAAAATATTAAACAAGTTAAAGTTCAGCTTTTCAGCAGAATCGGCCTTCATAGATGAAGAGCTTTAGTCCGTCTGAAGGCTGCGTTACAGTCTGTAAAACCGATGTCAGTGTTTCTTCCTTCCTGTTGATGAGCTGATGTCTGTATCTTACCAGAAATATCCACAGTACACTCTGACAGTACAAGCAGCAGATATGGCAGGAGAAGGGTTAACTGGACAAACCAAAGTCATCCTCACGGTGACAGATGGCAGCAGTAATGCTCCTGACAGCAGCAGCAACGTGGAACCCAACACTGCACGTGTTTTTCCAGCTATTTTCTTCACTGAGAACAACAGAGGACCCTATCCTATTAAGTTAATTGAAGTAAGAGAATCTGATTCTGAAATTAACTTCAGACTTTTGTTTCTGCACAGGATGTCTCTGTATTGGTTTACTCGAAGGTTGAATAAACTGGTTAAACTGAAACAAGTTATGAATCGAATCCGGCCATTGTCTCCTTACTCTAATAGTGTCATCAGCAGTTAGGTGGGTCGCTTGTAAAAATATTACTTCAGCTTTAATTTGTCGAGTCACATTATTCATGCTTCATATAATTCTCGATCCAGAGGCGTAATTACACTAATTCATAACTCAGTACCATTTAACCTTGTTAACATTATTAGTGATTGTTATGGCAGATGTTTTATTGTCCAATGTGAGATAGCCTCACAAATTGAACTTAATACATATGAATGCAATAATGACAACCCATCTTTTTTTAGAAATCTGTTTTGTTATTTCCAGGATATCTCATTATTGGGGGAGATTTTAATGGCACACTTTATTCAAGTGTTGATAAATCAAGTGGAGTCAATTCAGCTCATAAGCAGTCTAGAAAGGAAATACTACAATTTATGACTGAATTCAATTTAGTTGATGTTTGGAGAAACATGCACCCAGATAAGATTACTTTCTCTTGCTACTCTAGCACTCATGGGACCTTTTCCAGAATTGACTATTTCTTACTTTCTGCATTCTTGGTATCCATGGTAACTAAATCCTGGTGTGATAGTATTGTCATATCAGATCACTCCACCGTTTCATTTCAACTATATTTACCTAGCTTACCATTATTTACCACCAGATGGCGACTGCAATCTTTCTGGTTGAAAGATCCAGAATTCTTGGAACACATTGGAAAGCAAATAGATTATTACTTTGCTTATAATACAACTCAAACCACGGCTACTTTAAAATGGGAGGCTTTCCTGAGAGGGCAAAAGACATTGAGGAAGAGATATTTATATCCAAATCTAATGCTCCAATTCTAGAGTTAAATAAACTCAGAGCTAAATTCAATATTTTGTCATTAAATAAAGCTACTAACAGTTTAATAAGACTGAAACAGTCATATTATGAACAGGATGAAAAAGCAAGTAAAATACTGGCTTGGCGTATTAAACAGGCTCAGGAAAGAACAATAAATTCTGTAACTACAGATGAAGGACAGATCACAGCTGATCCTAAACATATATGACTCTTTTTGCACTTTTTATAAACAGCTATACAAAACTGAGCATTTAAATTCATTTTAATAAAAAAAATGATTTTTTTAGATCAGCTGCATTTTCCTAGAACGGTATGGATGAACTAGGGCTTAATATAAGAGTAGAAGAAATTACTAATGCTATAAGGAACATGAAAGGGGGTAAAACTGGACCTGATTATACCAATACTGATACCAATAAAAATATACAAAATATTTAAAGACAGTTTGATCCAGCCCTTATTGGATATGTATCAGGAATCATTTGAATCTGGGTCTCTCCCACCCTCCATGTAATATTGCAACAATTACACTTTTACTGAAACCTTTTATTGAAAGCCAGCAATTAATTGCAGTTCTTATAGACCAATTTCACTGTTGATTAAAAGATACTTTGCAAATTATTAGCTACGAGACTAGAGACACTCTTGCCTAATATGATTCACTCAGACCAGAATGGCTTTATCCAGGGGAGGCAGAGGTTTCACAATATACGGAGGGTCATGAAGATCATTTATGAGGAAAAATAGACCAGAGACAATGCATTAATCTCAATGGATGATGAAAAAGCCCTTGACAGGATTGAATGGCCATTTTTATTTGAAGTTTTGAGAAAGTTTGTTATTGGAAACAGATTTTTTAAATGGATTCAATTGATATACTCCAATCCTCAAGAAGAGATTTTAACTAACGGTCTTTTTCCCGCACCATTCAGACTCTATCGCGGTACTACACAAGGTGCCCTTTGTCACCTCTCTTGTTCACCTTGGCAATTGAGTCTCTTGCAATGCCAATTTGGAATCATAAAAACATATCAGGAATTAAAGTAGGCAATGTTGACCACCGTATTGCCCTATATGCAGATGATATGATCCTGTTTTCAATAAAAATGAACGACAAAATCCTCCAGTTTCTGCAAAGTCCTCCCTTTCTGCAATCTGAACATGGGTTTACTTATCTAGGTGTGAAATTAATTCCCTCAATTGAAAATATTCTTGCATCCAATTATAATTCCTTAACGACGTCAGTTACTACACTCCTAAATAGATGGACGAAATTACCTATATCTTTAACTGATCGTATTAATATACTAAAAATGTAAATTTTGCCCAAATATCTTTACCTTTTTCAATCAATATCTCTCTCTCGACCAAAATCTTTCTTTTAAGATTTGCAAAAACTATTCTGAAACTTTATCTGAAATAGCAAAAGACCAAGGCTCAGAATCTCCTTACTATACCTTCCTTATGAAAGAGGGGGTTTACAACTTCCTAATTTAACGTGGTACTTCTGCTCAAATCAGAGTGGCAATGTTTTATTTTGAGCAGACTCCAGTGTGAGTTTCTATGCAGTCTACAGAAATCAAAATTCCCCCTAACTTATATCTTTTCTCAGCCAACAGGAAAGCACTACTTAAGCAAACTAAGAACCCTTTTTTTAAAAACACTGTAATGATCTGGTATGAAACACATAACTACTTGGGAGAAACGTCACAACTTTCTAGGTTCACTCCAATATTTGGAAATAACAGCTTTCCTCCTGGTAGGGCGGATGCAGGCTTTAAACTTTGGTTCAGTCAAGATATAAGAAAAGTGTCTGATATGTTTAGGAATAATACTCTTATGGCTTTTGAACAGCTTAGAAGTACATTTTCTATTCCTGTCAAACATTTCTTTTTAAATTTCTTCAATTAAGAAATGTTATCTTAACCACACAAGGTAACAGCTTTGAAATCCCCACCTACTCCTCTCTAGAGAGCACAGTTATATATCATCTAAATGAGAGAGGCCGAGTTTCTGCATCGTACAAATTATTTATGGAAAATTCCAAAGAATCAATGCAGTCTATTTTAGAGGCTTGGAGGAATGATTTGCAAATGGATCAGATGACGATTGGTATAAATCATGCTTCTTGGCCCAGAGTCAGACAATTAATCTAAACTACTTCAACATAAATGGTTAACAAGACAATATATTACTCCATCAAAAATGCATCATTTTAACCCAAACATCCCAGACACCTGTATTAAGTGTGGAGTGGATAGGAGTTCTTTATTTCACTGTATATGGGAATGTCCACATGTGAAAGTTTTTTGGGAAAAGGTAATAAATCTGTTAAGTCCAATCATTGGTGATGTGATTCCACTCGATCCCAACATGTGTATTTTAAATATATACACAAATAATTTTGTACTTGCTGCAAACAATAGAGCTCTGTTAACGATCGACTTTTGGAAGCCAAGCGCTGTGTTGCTATGTGTTGGAAAAATCAAAGAATATGTGGACTATCTCAGTGGTTTAATGGACTGACATCTATACTATCTATGGAGGAAATAACTTATGCATTAAGAAATAAACAGTTTTGGTCCATATGGTCAAAATTCTACAGCTTTTTGGTGAACTGTAACGTATACACTGTGGACTTAACGGCTTGAAGTGCTGACTTGATTTGTATATCTGCCCTTACCTTCTGTTATGGTTTGTTTTGTTTTCTGTTTTATCATTATGCATTTTTTTTATGTCCATGGTGTATTACGTAAAATTTGTTAAAACTAATAATGGGCTAATAATAAATGTTTAAAAAAAAGTACAGCTAAAGACCTCTGCACAACTGCTTTACAATAGTTGTTGTGCAATATTATAACTGTAGTCAGTGAGAGTGGTTTAACCTAATCCTGGTGTGTTTTGTTTAGATACGGTCTGATGAACATCAAAAGCAGAATTTACATTACAGCATCACTGGTCCAGGAGCTGATCAGCCTCCTGTTGCCCTTTTCACCATGAATAGAGACACTGGCAGTCTGTATGTCACACAGCCAGTCGACAGAGAGGAAGTAGCCCATTATAAGGTAAAGTGACATTTTTCTTGTGTTAAAAAATACTCCAGTAAAGGTAAAAGTACTGAATCAACCTCTTTACTTAAGTGAAAGTGAAAAAGTACAAGCTCTGAAATGTACTCTTGGACCACTTGAAAGCAGTGTTTTTATGCAAAAGTAACTGAATCTATTGATGTATTAACATAAGAATAAAATAATGTTACTGCTTCAGAATGTAAATGCTATTTGAATCTAAATTAAAATACAAATGAATTTGCAGTGAGAGATGTAAACCTTGGGCCCCCTCTTCAGTTCAGAGGTGGTTCACATAAACAGGCTCCTTGACTCCTGCTCAAACCAGCATCCTCCCTGTCCACCATCTTTCAACATCTTACAATGCTGTGGTTGCAGCCTTTCCCCAACTCTCTCTGGATGGTACTCATGGCCAATATTTCTTCCACTTAAATGTTACGTCCAGATGAACACGTTTTACAAGTTTTATAGCTTCTCTCCCATTTATACTGCATCAAAGTATTAAGTCACAGAAAGACAACAGGAAAGTGTGGATGTTTCACTATCTACCAAAGATATTTATGGTAGTTCTTTGTAAGAAAATAGATTATAACCTTTTGTTTTATAATTAAAACATAGTCTGAGCAATGAGCTGTCAGAAGTCTTTCTAATAATTTAAGCCCAAAGAGTTGTGCTGACAGATTTTTTTATTTTATTTACCACAGCAGCAGCAACAGGTGTGGGTTTGAGTATGACCCGCAGCCCTTTGCTGCATGTCTTTCCTTCTCTCTGTCCCAAAATGTTCCTATTATTTTGAATAAAAGCATTAATGTACATTGTTTATTCTCTTTTGAACAACATAATTTTAATGTGATTGTATATTGGCAGCTACAAGTGCATGTCGTGGCAGAAAGTGGAGATCACCAGGAGGTCATGAGTGTTACAGTTAAAGTCATCGACCAGAATGACAACAAACCTGTCTTCTCTCAAAACACCTTTGAGGGACAAGTTGCTGAAAACTCAGCACAAGGTACTGATAGTGTTTTTAATTTAAGCTTGCTTGTCATGTGTGCTTGTTTCACTTTTACAGGAGAAAAAGGAATCTGTTGCTAATAGTTACAAGGTACTTTATTTGTAATTAGATTCAGTAAAGTGGGATGTGTACATTGAAAACCTACTATAAATAAAAGATAAACAAAGCCTGAATGACTGTTCTTAATTCCTACTTCTGAATTCTTTCTCTCCAGGTTCTGAAGTGATTAAGGTCGAGGCTACAGATTCTGATGAACCAGATAATGCCAACTCAGATATCCGTTACCGTATTCTGAGGCAGGACCCGCAGCTGCCCAGTGACAACATGTTTGAAATCAACTCAGTTACTGGAGCCATCAGTGTTGCTGGCACTGGACTAGACAGAGAGGTTAGCCTTCTAACGCATTCAGTGACAGTAAGCACACTGGCCAGCTCGGGATAAGGGGACCCACTTATGACTGGCATACAAGGGATTTAGAAAAAAAAGAACAACTATTAAGTTGGCAGTTTTAACTTTTCTTTTCCCCTGTACCACTTTTTTACAAATTAAAAACAGCTTTAACAAACAGCAAATTGTATCAAAGAAGCAGGAAAAGATCACGACTTCATTCCATTTTACTTGTTTAGCTGATATCTGTCCACTTATGTCCACTAATTGAAGTAGGCTAACACAGGTGTGTCAGTGTAGACAAAGTTAAATATGATCTGGTGCTGTCTCAAAGATATATGTTCAAAAATGAAATAAAACTGTCTCTTCTGAGTGCAACTGGAAAATAAACTCCCTGGCTCTCATTCTGCCTATGCTACCACACAGTTAGTGGTTAGCTTCATAGGGTGGACAGCATTATAGCATTAGATGAATCTGCAACATTAAAATGCACCAAAGTGTCTGTCAGCTCTTTCTGGTTTCAGAAAAAAGCTTGATTCCATATATTCCTGTTGCTAATAATCAACTTGAAAACTTTGTTCTGCTGGGATGTTGTCACATGACACTGTCAGTTCTATGTAAACAGAAATTAGTTAGCATATTCCACTGAACTTTAAAATGAGAAGTATCTCATCAGAGTCTCCTTTGGATACAAACTGATGATAGAATGTTTTATCCTTCTTGTTGATGAGCTGAACTTGTTATATTTCTCCTCCAACAGAAATATCCACAGTACACTCTGACAGTACAGGCAGCAGATATGGAGGGAGAAGGGTTATCTGGACAAGCACAAGTAATCATCAAGGTCAGAGATAACATCAATGTTCTCTTTGTCACTAGAGGGTCTTAATAATCACTCCACGTTTGCAAATTTAGCCGAGGTGTCAAATAGATTCTGGGCTGGCCCAGTGTTGGGCACCGTTGCTCTCAGTGTGGTGATGTCAGCATTACTACAAAGGAATGAAATGCTCTTTCCTTGACACGTTTTCTGAGAACACTTTTCATGAATAGTGTTTTAATAGTAGTTCAGGATTATCCAAAATTAGCTTAAAGCTATCAAAATAATGCAGAGAAACAAGGTGTGTTAATGAGATGTTGTGCCATATCAGGAGGGCTGTGCTTTCATGTTGTATAAAACCAGGCTACATATTAAAAAGATATTTGTATGTCCAGTATTGACCTTGGAAAAACGTAAAGTTTCTTGATTAACTGAGGGCTAAAAACCAACATCAAAAGTAAAAACAGGATAGCAGTAGCAACATTGTCACTGTGAAAATGCTGCCCCTTGTTTTCAAAATGTGGTAGTTGGCAGTCGGTTGTTGTTTTTAGAGGCACTTTAAAAGCCTGTGTTTGAATAACAGGTGGTGCAGAGCCAGTAGTCCTGGAAAAGCTTCAGATCTCCTGTTCCTGTTTGGTAAGTTTAACTACATCTCATTTTTTAAACTGAATTGTCCAATAGTGAACTACACTAATTGTCATCACTTCCCCCATTGAAACATTTCTAGAATTAATATTAACATCACCTAACTTCTGACAAGAAGTAGTGCTTCTTAATTAACCCACAAGGAGCTGGCACTCTTACCTTACTGTTACAGAATCTACATTTCTGGATAGAACAAAATTGAAACAAAAATGGAGCTTTTTAAAATAATAAACAAACAGTAATTTCTGATTTGTTCCACTTACTGCATTTCCACTGATCCTGAGTCAGTTTGACCCCTTGAAGAAAAACATTGTTCACCCTGGTTTGGTGGCTCCGTATTGATATGCTAGAAACTTTTGTTGTGTTTTACCCAAAACAGAGCATGAAGACATCAGAGACATCTATCACTGGCTGATTCTACATGACGCTCTCTTCATATGCATGTGTGAATGTTAGATAAAAAGCACTTACATAGAAAAAAGTGCTTATGTGAATGGGTGTGAATGATCAAAGCTGGTTTGTCACTGATCATGTGACAATAAATTCCCAGCATAGTTATTATTCACATGTAAGCATTTTGTAGGTGGTGGGAAGCTCTGCATATGTGTCTTAGAAAACTTCCAGGGGGAGCTGTGTATCTGCTGCTTTTCTTTTCCATGATTATTGTAGCGAGCACTCCTTCAAGTGATTTTCTTGCTCTGTTTGTCAAAGAAAACAAAAGATTCAAATGGTGTAAACCACAGTCAGCAGCTGCATAAACAATAGATTTGATGATGTGTTGGAACATGATCATGCTGTCACTGAGGAATATACTTCTTTATAGTAACTGAAACATATATAACTAATTAAGAGTATTGGTATCCGAACATAAAAGTTCACAGTTGGTTATGTCCAAAAGTATCTTTAAATTCCAAAGAAATTAAGTACTGTTACTTTGTCTTGATGCACACTCAAAATAAAGTACTATTACATCCACTTACAAGTTTGTGGAAGAAACTTGTAAGTGGATGTTGTGTAGAGGAAGTGTATGATGACAGGGATCATTTTGCTGTTGCATGCCAAATGATATTTCAGATCCAGTTACCACTTCATGAATTGAAAACACAATCCAGTCGATATTGTCTGGTTTAAAATATACTTGGTGCTGCATATTATTTTTACTTAATAACAGGGTTTGACTGCAATTATAGTTTTTATTCATATCATTTTTAGTGAGCTTTTCCCAGCAAATAGACTGACTAACACAGATAAATATATTCCTGCAAAAACTATCAACGCATGTCCGCTTTGACTCCAGAGAAATCCTTATTCAGCCTAAAGATCAGAAAACAGAACTATCTCTATCATTGCACCAACCTTTACATTTGTCAAATATCGGTTTTTTATTACCTATAGACATATTACCTTATGTCTCAACATAAGAACCACATGAGTGCTGGGAACCCAGGTTACCCACCAGAAAATGGCATTGTGACAAAACAGCCAGTGTTAATCACCAGTAAGTTTTTTAACATTGTGGCCCAATACCGTATAGTCACAGTTCTTTTAATATGGCCTGCTGCATAAAACACAAATTAAATAATGTATATGTACTATACATGTATAAGAAAGGAAAATGGGATTGTTGCTCTTTTTTTTTTTTTTTTACAGTAACTGTCTATCTCTTGCTCTTGCTATGCTGCCTCTTGTATCCTTTCAGTCAAAGCCAATAAAATTAAGCATTGAAAATCACAAGGTTGAAACTGGGACTGTTTTTTATACACTATCATGAAAGCATAGGAACACAACACTCTAATTTGGTGCTCTTGCTTTGTAAACTTGGGTTCATTTTGATCATGCATGAAGAAGAAAGTCTGCCCAATTGAATGTTATTCATATACACTGCTGCCCACTAGATGGCGACAAATTCACATGCATTAGTATAACCAAACCATTAACAGAAAACGACCTCATTTAACATGTCTGACAGGAAAGAAAAGTGAAACCATAGACCTTTATAATAACTTTCCTATTTCAACAGTGGGCAGCGACTGGTTCAGGCTTCCCGGCTGCCTGTCACTGCAAGTCGCAGCTTGTTGGTGGAGTAACGCCATGTTATTTAAAGACGGTGAAGTCCAGCCTGCTGACTATGTTGCTTTCACTTATAGGTCTGAGCTCTCAGTGCACTGTGTCAGGCCAGCACAGCGACTCACTCACTTTACAAAATCTGGTCTGTTGGTCATGCATGTGTGAAATAATACGAGAAAAATATCGTTAATTTATTGTTTTGGAAAAGATGTTTGCAATTTTTTGCTTTGTGCATGATTTAGAGAAGGCAAAGGTATGAGGATTGCCATTTAGGTTGTTTTTTCTTCTTTTTTATATTCTTTTTCATATTAATGTTTTATTATATCCAAAGAAGTTTAATTTCAGAATGAACTTCTTGTGTGCAAATATCAACTGCACTAAGCTACATATTTTGTTTAACAATATCTTTGGAATATTTTTAATAGCAATAGTGAAACCAAAAACAAAACAAAATAACTGAACGAAATCAACCTAAACAAGAAGAGGAACAACAATCTGCTCATAAAGAGGCTGAAAAGATTTAAGTTGTGTGCCACCCCAACTGTGATGTCATCACGCCCTTTTAAACAACAAAGTTTGATTTGAACATTGAATCAAACAGGCCTCTAATGTGAAAGGGTCTCTAATAATGCTGACCATTAGAGCAGGGGTGTCCAACTCCAGGCCTCGAGGGTCGGTGCCCTGCAGGTTTTAGATCTCACCCTGGGTCACCACACCTGAATCAAATGATTAGGTCATTAGCAGGCCTCTGGAGAACTTCAAGACATGTTGAGGAGGTCGTTTAGCCATTTAAATCTGCTGTGTTGGACACATCTAAAACCTGCAGGACACCGGCCCTTGAGGCCTGGATTTGGACACCCCTGATTTAGAGAATCACTGTCAACTCTTTTTACAAATTTTCCTTTGTGATTTTCTTCTGAAGCCATTTTGATTAGGACTTCCATAAAAAACAAGGAATCAAACTGAAAGCAAAGTCTCCAACAAACAAGATCAGACAAGTGGGCCGTCTGTAGTCTGTATTCCGGGAATTCAGACTCAAACATGTTCCTGTCTGTCTGCTGGGTGTTTGGTAGCAGGTTATTAGCCAGATATACGCGATAAACTAACTGTGGATTAAACTGTTTGTTTTGTAGTCGCTCTTCCTGCCTTAGTTAAAGCTTTAAATACACCAGTGTTTACAAATGGTTTACTTCAATTTGCAAACCACGCAGAAAGACAGTGAAAATGGAAACAATAACAAACAGAAACAAACAACAAGCTACGTAAAACCTGTTCTACATAATTATCTGTTCTTTCAAGGCAGCTGGAAACACAAAACTGGGATTGTCACCTGGATAAACTTGTTGGCAAACATTTACAAATGGAGTTGAGTTGAGTTTCTGGGCCAGACTTCCTTTAGATATACTGGCTCTTGAAAATGTTTGGCTCTTTAGCTAAATGCTAACTGCATGCTGTTTGCAGTTATGGGGAAGTGAAACATACGGGAGCTGGAAGGATTTTGTGAATAAGAAAACATTAATATGCATGACTTGACTGCTGGTATTGTTTGTGCTTTCTGACACTTTAAAGTGAATGATAAAGAGACCTGAAATAAAAGCACATGTGATATTATTGTCTTGCGAGCCAGTTGTTCCTGTTTAGCAAGCCTCTGCTGTCTGCAGCGAGTGAGGCAGTTTTACAGCTGCTGATAAGCCAGGCTCTTGCTTCTGTTTGCAGTGGAACAGCTTAGCTGAAAGGCACAGAGGTGTGTCAGTTACTGAAAAAACATTTGGGGAAGGTTTTGTACCAAACATTGACATAGTTTTACCAGCATATTCACAGTGGCTGTTGCCAGGTAAAACCAGAGAATAATGCCATTCCTGCCCTACTCTTGGATTTGCTTCCTGTGTTTACTAATGTCAATGACTGTAATTCTGAAAAAGAGCCACACCTATGCTCGCACCTGAATGACAATAGACAGGCCATTAAACACACACAACAAGCACATGCAGAGGTAAAGATTAGAGGTGTGGTCACAAGATTTCTTAGAGATAAACAGCAGACGGGCCTCGTCCTCAGGCTCCAGTCTGCCAGGGATTAGGATGTGGTTATGGGGGAGATGAAGAAGAATTCTTTTGGTTTGTGCCAGCCAGTTTCCATGGATGTGTTTTTTTTCTTTTTGCTCTTTGGTTATTGTTAAAGTGAAGTCGTTACAAGAGTTGTTTTTCTGAAAGCATCCTGGCTTCATAGTACTAGGCTAAATTGTTAGCGCAGCGCAGTGTGTTTAGAGACACTCCCAGCAGGAGAAAACATGTCAGCACAGGAAGTGAGCAGCCTGAGGTATATTTACTGCAAACATGTTCAGTGCCGTTAGCTGAGAGCTCAACTCATTTGAACTCTGGTGACACACGATCAGAGAGAGAAATATAAAGGGAACCAATGCAGGTTAAAGCTTGTTGAACGTACGTGTTTAATAATGTGGACTTTTGAGTCCGTTCCTGAGATTGAACCTGGGATGTTGTGCTTGCTACATTATGGAAGAGCGGCTCTTAACCTGTCTATGCCCATCTAAAAAAAAATAGTGATAACGTTAATGTTTACAGCCTGTTACAAAAGACATTTCCACCTACATAACAAGTGTATAGTGGCTGATTTTTACTTATTTATTTGTAACCCAGCCCTCCATCAGGCCTGGGTGCTATGATTGACAGATCCAGCTAACAGTTGTTTGCTTGCCTCTACTAGTGCCTACTGCCTCTACAAGTTGAAGTGGCTCACTGAGAGAGCTTTGACACACTCAACAGAACGAAACCAAAACTCATTTCGTGTGTACCTTACGAATTTGCGTGTCATCCTTGCGCAGGGGCCATGCTAATCTTCTCTGTATCGTATCCAATTTAGCGTACGCGCTTGCCGAAGCAAGTGTGTACCTTACCTTACCTCCTCATGTCAAAATGGCTGCTGCCACCCCCCTTTTTCAATCTCACATTAATACAAAAGTGATGACCTTCTATCACTTCTGCTGTCTGTGGCACCTGTGTCCACCCATTCCTTCTTAAGCTTCCATCTTTGACAACAGCTCAAATTTACAGTTAGACTGTAAAAGGGCTCAGTGTGACTAATCAAACAGTAGGCTGTTTTTAGTGGCAGATTAACATGGTCTTCGAAGCTTTGTGGTTTGTGTGTGACTGAGTTAAACTAAACTCCAGTGTGCGTGTTCATGGTAATAAAGGAATGTTCCAGTGAGCCACACTGGCTGTGTTTTAGCAGTTTTTGGACAACAAGCACAGAGCAACAAGGCCAGCACACAGGCGTGGTGGTATATTCACCTTTCCTGGAATCCCTTATCATTAAGGGAATTTTTCATTGTTACTGTTTGGCAAGAACACTTTCCAAAAATTATATTTACGTTTGCAAAACAGACCATT